TTCGGAAATCTCTTTTAACTCCTTGAGCAATTTAATCACTTCCTCAAAACTTGCATTTTCAGATGTTGAAATTTGAGTTATTTGAGGACTCAAATTTGTTCCTTTGAATATGAATTCGACTGATACATCTTTCCTTTGCCTTCAAGCCAATGATCAATGTTCTTCCTTGAAGTCATTCCTTTTTCACGTGACTTTTTCATAGTTTCTTTCTTCGTATGATTAGGAAAATTTGGCTTTTGAGGAACAAAATCAACTTTGGGTTTTGTTAGAAAAGAAGAAGCATATGATGAATCATCTGGTGATTTAAAATTTTGTCGTTGAACAAATGTTTGATTTGGATTAGGTTTATTTAAAATTGCTCTTGATTTGTTAATTTCAGAAACTTTCGAAAACTTTGGTTGCTTATTCACTTCAGACCTTATATAATTTGATTGAGATGAATGTTGGTTTTTCGTTGAAAAATAGGAATTTTTTAGCTTTGAAAACATTTTTTGTTTGATTGTGATTCAGACATCTTTTGAGACTCAACATTTTGCCAAAATATTTTCTTTCTTGCTTGTCTTTTCGAAATGTTGTTTTCCTTCGAAAATTTGTCAATTTGATCTTTAAATTCCTTAGAATTTAGTTTAACAACTTTTACATTTTCTTTTTCAACAGGTTTTGAATTCTCTTTTTCATCTTTTGATTTTTCAACCCATTGTCTTTGTGGTTTTTTAACGTTGAAATATATACGAATTCTTTGTTAAGTTGTTTTCAACTATGCTTTGATTTGTGAAAAAACCTTCTTCAGTTGTTTTTGAATTATCCTCCTCAACCAACTTCTTTAATTCTGGTTTGATTTTCTCAACATTTCCAGTTGTGACGAAAACTTGATTTGGGAAAATGACATCATCTGTGCATTTGAAATTTGGATAAACGACTGTATTCGTTTCAAGATAATGTTCACCTTTTTCATTCATTTCTTTTTCGAACTTTTGTGTATCACCATACACTTGATCAACAAGTTTTCGAGGAATTTCTTCTTCCTTTGAAGATTTCTTTTCTTTCGAAATTTTCTCTTCATCTTCATCATCACTATCATCATTTTGGCTATCTTTGAGATTCACGAAGTTCATTTCACAAACTTTCGAAGTTGAAGGTATATCAGTTTCATTTTAAACCATCAAATCCTTAACTTTTTCTTTCCCTTTAGATGTTGAAGCAACATTAACAACAGATAACTGAGAACAATCAACATCTTCAAACTCACTAATTTCACTAATATTATCAGAATTATCTTCAATATCAGCAAAATTAGTTTGAGAATCAGATGTTGAATTCTCAGTCTTTTTCAAAATTTGAATTTGTTCATATTTAGTCAAAGTTTCATTCACAATATTAACTAACTCATTCGCATCAAGACATTCATCAACTTTAACTATTCCATATCTATATTTATCATTCAGAACTTTGTTAAAATCAGCTATTTCTTTTTCACAGTCATACGAAATGTTATCTACCGTAGCTCTATCATAAGCTAAAAATGGCAGCAATTTTCTATGTTGTTCTTTACTGATTTCGCATGAATGATGAAGTTCAGTTAATTTCCCATACAATCTTTTAGCCGAATTACAGTAAATGTTCCTCTGGGCTAACAACAGTTTCGTTTCATTTGACAAATTATCTCTATCCATCATGATATTAGTTATTTGAGGTTCCAAACAATCTATCTTAGTAATTTTCGAATCTAGTTTCTTCTGTGTCTCTAGCAACTGCATAGACAGCTTCTTAGCCTCATTGCTAGCAGATACCACAATCGAATCAAAATAAGTAACAGTTTCATCGAAAGATACTAATTCAGAATTATAAGCATGTATTGGAATATTAAAAGATTCAAGAATATTACGTACCTTTGTGGTCATCGGAGATTTGTCAGCAGCTTTTGATACGAAGCATCTCCCATGAACTTCGTATTCCTACTCACCTGAATCTTCTTCCATCTTTGCATACATTGCTCCATGGGTTGGATTTCGCATTTCCTCATCATCTGATCCAGATGACCAAATTTGATAAGTTGCATCTTCTTCTTGTTCACCACGAGCAACTAACGAAAGATTCTTTGCCTTCGCACGCACTTCCTCCAACGTTTCCACATAATACGCTTCATCCTTTGTCTTATTCTTTTTCTCATCTTTCTTCCTCAGCATGCAATCATTAGCTAAATGATTAGCCCTGTTGCAATAATGACAATCAATCCCAGCATCTCCCTTTAACTTCTTCTCCTCAACAAACTTCGTATCCTTCTTCTCTTCCTTCTTCTTCTCATCCCCAACACTTTTACTCATAAAATTCCCTTTTATCTCAGATGACTTTGCCTTCGGATTGAATGGCTTTTTGAAGAACTTTTTCACACGATTGTTCGAATAGAAAGCAATCGCCTCATCATCTGAGTTCATGATGAACCCTTCGTCTTCGTCTGAAACATCTTTCTCTGCTTCCCTTTCAGAGATCTTCGAAACCAAAGCTATTGGACCTCCCAAACTTGCCTTTGATTCATCAGCAATTTCGTTCACTTCGCTTTCATGAGACTTCAGCTGATTGTACAAATCATTCAAAGTTGACGTATCAAAGCTCTGTTGATTCTTAACCATCATGCTCACACTACGCCATTCCTTACGAAGACCCATAACAAAAATTAAATTGAACTCCATGGCTGATCTGGTGATACCATATCGATTGCATCGATAGATTAATTCATTAAGACGATCGTAGTAAACTTCAATCGTTTCACCATCTTTCTGTCTGAAGTCCTTCAGTTCCACTAAGCATTGCTTCACAGAGTTAACTTTTGTTTTCTCACTCCCCTGAAATTTCTCCTTAAGATTGTTCCAGATCTCCTTTGCAGTTATACAACTCCTCACATAGTTGTAAACAACTGGAGGCAAAGCACCTCTTAGTTCTCTCACGCATCTCTTCTCTAGCTTTTTCAGACGATCAGACTGATTCTCAACTTCGGAACTTCCAGAAGATGATCCAATTGGTTGAACATTCATTGGTGGATTGAGATTGCCAGAAATGCAATTCCACAGTTCTTCATCCAATCCGTTGAGATAATCCTGCATACGATCAGCCCATTGATCGTAATATTCAGGGATTAGCATAGGAATTTTGGTGGATGATCCTAGAAGATGAGAAAACGAAGTCATGGAATTAAGATTGAATGACGCCATTGATGTACGGAATAAATCCTTTGAGAAATTTTGAAGAAACTTTGAGAATTTGACAACAAACTATATGATTCAGATCAGAATCACTAGTAGAACACTCGATTCAATGATTCAAATGCAGAATCGAATAATAGACTAAGATCTAGACAATTTTTCACTTTCAAAAAAGTGCGGAAACTTTTGAATCAAAAAATTGATTCAAAAACCTTTTGAACAATGTGAAAATCAGATCAGAGATATGATTCATGCTCTGATACCAATTGAAGAACCAATGAATTGAGTTATGAATTAATAAGAGTATGAATTCAAGTAATGATACGAGATTTAGACACAGGATGTAAATATGATCTTGTTTCAGCTCTATTACGCTTTCAAGTTTTACAGAGTACAATATGTAATTCTGTAAAAGAATTCTATTTTTATGACCCTAGTAAGCACTCCTATTTATAAGAGAGGAAAGCGTACAAAAAATATACTAAGGACTAAGCTTTAAGCTTCGAATACAATGCCCTAGTAAAATAGATTACAAAAATGTTCGAAGGGTACAAAACATATACTTTGACTAATTACAACAATTCGACCCTTACAGTACAGCTGGGCTACTGGGGTGTGCTGGTGGCGCCATAGGGGGAGGGGGAGGGGATGGAGAAGGTGGCTGTGAGGGCAAGTTAAATCTAGGTCTAGAAGTGTTTGTCGGAGAGGAGCTACGAAGCCCCGATTTATCACGCTTCCTCTTTTTCGACTTCGATTTGGGATTTGACTTTAACTTTGATTTTGACTTACGTTTAGCTTCACCGCTTTTGGATACGTGAGAGAATAACGTGGATTGGGTCTTATTCGCCTTGAAGGAAAGCGCCGGAGTATTGTTGGGGAAAGGCCCAAAACAGCCAAGTGGGACCAAGTTCTCAATAGGCCCAATATTATTAAGTCCAATGGGTGTAAAGGAGATTGGTGTATTAACTTCAAAGGGCGTATCTTTATATGTCGCCGCTGGAGTAGATACCTCTGGAATATCAACCGACTCCACAAAGTTGGGAATTGTATTCTCATTACTTTCCACATTAATGACTACCTCGGGGTCTGTGTTGACCTCTGTGATTCCCGGCGACACATGATCTTCCTGAATTATTGGCTCGGTGGCACCCGACTCACCGGCGGCTGTATCTGGTGTCGTCGCTTCGTCGTTTACCAGCGAGTGATCTGGTCTGAATTCACCTTCCTCCTCCGTGTCTTCCTTCTCCTCTTCTATCCATGTGTCTGAGGCATCGTCTTCATCGATCTCCTCCCCGTCGTCATCGTCTGAATCCTCCACTTTGTCAAACGGTAGTGGCAAAAATAGAGACCAGTCATCCGTGTACTCAACCACCCCCACTCGGTATTCAACCCCATTACAATTGATTTTCACTTCCTCATTTATCCATCTATTGAACGAAGTCAGAACTCCGACCTTCCCCATAGAGTAGTCTATCCGGTTAGAGATGTTGTCAAAGGGACTGATGAGTCTGCCAAACCTGGAAGCAATTAACGAGAAGTTTTTCTCATCCCAGAGTTTTAATGGAACCCCCAGAATTTTGAGCCAGACAGTTCTTTCATAGGTGAAGTCGTGTCTTTCAGTATTCACCAGCCATTTGAACCAATCTTTCCAACCATGTTTTGCATCCAGATATTCCTTTGCCTCAATGGAGCTCTTGATCTCAATGGCAATCTTTAGACCCCCCAAATATTTAGTCTCATCCTTCATGATGCCTGACGCATTCATCGTGCCTATGTGATCAAGGCTATGAGCCTCACCAATCAACACACTTTTTTTTTCAGCCATTCACTCATATATGTATTTGGGTTAAGGTTAATTGGGGGCGGGGAAAGATTTGGAGGTTGGCCAGGAAATCCCGCAGCCACATGAGCGAAAGATCGATGGTCTCTTTTTCTCCAAACTTGAGGCGACGCTTTACCGATACCCTGTTTTTGTCTAACTCTGTTATCATCTCCGTGACTTTGCATAGGTTTTCTGGGGTGTTTAGATAAATTCACTTCAAGGGTTTTGTTTCTGCATTTGATACCCTGTAACCTTACCTCCAACTTTCTTTCATCTTCGACATCCTTGAATCTGACGAAGGCAAAGTCTTTTCTCTGAGCGTTTAGTTTGTCGGCAAAGTATACATCTGCTACCGTTCCAAATCTCGCGAAAGGGAACCTTAGTTCCGCCTTCCTTATCCCCTTCGGAAAGCCCACCACGTAGTACGACGTGAGCACTTCATTCTCACCGACTCTCTGATTAGGTTTTTGTCGTCGCCGGACCTCCTTCCACTCGCCGTTTGGTGGGTGACCACTCATATTCGATAAATTACATGAAATAACCAAAAACAATAAATATTGACTAGTAACAGTAGAAATAATTAATACTGATATTGCAAAATTTTAAAAAGATATTCAATAAATCACAAAGTAATATATGTGTCCATGTTCATGTGACTTATGTCATACGTAACTTAGTTTTTGTTTTTTTTGTTTTTTTTTTTTGTTTTTTTTTTCTCAATCTTATTGTTTTGACTCATTTTAGCACATGTAAAATCTTAATACAAGTTATTTAAAGCCCTGTTCGAGTATATTTGTGAGGACTAAGATCCTTAACCCTATTCAGGATCCCAAATCTTCAACAACTTTCAGGATCCTGAACATATCTCAGTATCATGATCTTTATTGTCACTATTATATCTTAACATTTCTAACGGATATATTTATAGTCTTTTTCTCACATGTGCAGAATTAGTCAACACAAGACTCATTCACAATGAAGTAACGTTTCAATCAGACAAAAAACCCGAGAATACAAAGTCAAACCAACATGTTCATTTTTATTCGAGAGGATCCTAGGAATATGGGACTTATTGTTACTTAGACTAGACTATAAATACATATATATTTCGCACACTTCACACACCTAGACTCACTACAGTACTTGTACTCGTTTACTTACTTGAATTTCTATAATCAATCATTCAATCAATACCATTAAACAAAGCATATGATTATTATCACCTCCCAGGGTTTTGTGTCGGAGGTCCTAGCAAGGCTCAAGTGCTTTCCTTGTAAACCACTAGTGTAATCTTGTTCTAGTTTCGATAATTACATTACAAATAACACTACAGCTTCTCACACAAAGTGGTTAATATCTACTCAGTCGATTTTTGACCAAAACAATTTGGCGCTCACCGTGGGGTCGTGGTGCTGATAATCCTCGAAAATCATGCCTACACAACCAACCTTCTCTTCTTGCTCTATTCCCTCTATTCCTTCGAAAATTCTTCCACCTCCTCCAAGCGGACCCCATGGTCAGAAGAAGACTTCCAATGTATGGAAGAAGAGCACTCATCCGATTATTCCAGGATCCCCGGGATCCCAGGATCCTCCTGCCTCAGTCTCAAATAACAAACTCTTCGCCATGATGAAGACATTTGACACAACAGGTGGCTCAGTAACAGGAAGACAACAAAACATTGCTTAAGGAAGTGGAAAGGATAAAGGAAGGGATCCACAAACCTCGGGAGGCGACACCTTCAATCTTACAACCGAGGATCCTGAATTTCGACAATAGAGGTTCCCTAGGGAAACGTTCGGAATCGACAGCTCCAACATCCGTTGCTACCCCAACAGGGAGAGCAATCCTAAACATCCAAACTCATGTGGCCCAGGATCTTGATGAGATCTTCAGTACTTCTAATAACAAAAATATCGGTAACTCTTTAATAGTAACACTATCAGTACTACCTCGATGGATCATGATGCTGGAATATGTCTAATTTTGTTCAAAGAACATCAACAACTAAGACAGATGATATTAAGGGTACCAATGGTGGTCCAACCTATACCGAAAGTATGCCCCACTAGTCACATAATCTCAAGATTTATCCCTTCAATAGCCGATACTAAAGTTCCTTAGCGCTTCCAAACTCCTAGCATGAAGCCTTACGATGGAACCACAGATCCTGAAGAACATATCACACAATATAAGGAGAGAATGGAGATCATTCCCATTCCGCCACACTTGAAAAAGGCATGTTGATGCAAAGACTTCAGATCGATCCTTACATGATCAGTCTTAAAGTGGATTTTTAATGTTCCTTCTTATTCTATTACATATTTTGCTCATTTAGTTAACCTTTTAAATAATCAGTTTTCTTGCAACAAAATATTTGAAAGGATCACTAGTGATCTCTATCGGGTGGTTCAGGATCCCAAAGAATCCTTGACGGAATTTGTAAGCAAATTTGGCAGGGAAGCCCTAAACATACCAAACATTGAAATGACCACTGTCATGAAGGCCTTTAAGATGGGTTTGAAGAAGGATTCCCTATTTTATGAAGACCTTGTGATGACTCCATAAAAACGTTTGGATGAAGTCAAAAGTTGAGCACTAAGGTTCATCAGATTGGAAGAAGACAAGGAAATACAAAATAGGTCCAACACGCCAAGTTCCTATGACAATCCCAATATGAAGGCTGAATCGTTAACCCAGAGATCCTATAAATCAAAACCGTATTCCAAACCCGATCATCACAGGGTTAATGCCCTCGATGATGAAGGAGAAGAAGATGAATTTCCTAAAAGTACTGATTATTGCTTCTCTGTGGATGTTTCAGGTCTAATATGCGCCATACAAGATCTTGGTGACAGAGAAAGATGGCCAAGAAAGGGAGAAAAGTTGAACAAATGGAAACACAAATCCAAATGGTGTGCATATCACGAGGATTTCGGTGACAACACTGAGGACTGCATAGCCTTCAGGAAGGATATTAGTTATCTCCTGAGCAAGGGTTATATCAAAAAGATCTTAGGAAGGAAAAAAGAAAGATCTAAGGAAAAAGAGCAAGACCATATGAAAATCCTAGAAAAGCCAGGATCCCCTCCCTTGGATGCCAAGGTAATCAATGTCATTTCTGGAGGATCAGACATCTATGGGACTTCTTATTCTGCAACTAAAAGGCACGCCAAAGTGTCTAAGACGAAAAAGGAGGAAAGACCCCAAAAAAACACATCGATAACAAGCAGCAAGGAGATCATCTTTGACGAACAGGATACATAAAACATCCATCATCCTCACCATGTTGGTTGGTGATTACTCTATATATCGTTAACCACTTCGTCAGAAGGATCTTTATAGATGGAGGATCCTTAGTGAACATCATACTTTTAGACACTCAAACCAGGATGAACATTCCAAAATCCGAAATAATCAAGAGATCCTCGTTCCTAATAGGATTCAGTGGTGAAACAAAAGCACACCATTGTAGAAATCAAGTTACTTATCTACATCAATGGGGTAAATTCGATGCAATGTTTTTATGTTATTGATGCTTTGTATTCCTATAATGTTATATTAGTTAGAACATGGATCCATGACATGAAAGCAATCCCATCGATGTACCACCAGTGCATCAAGATGCCTACCCCATGGGGGCCAGTGAAGATCGTTGGGGATCAACAAGAATCTATAGAATGCTACAAGACCTCGATGAAATCTTGAACAGTACCACGACAAGCATCATAATTAAAGTAGGGACACGAGGTGTTCTAGAAACAAGAGAGCAAGATGTGAAGGAAGTACGCCTAAAGCTCGAGGATCTTGAAGCCAGAGTCCTCATAGGATCCTCAATCCCATAACAAAACGAGCAAGAACTAATAAAGTTCATAAAAGACAGAAACAACACATTCCCTTGGAAGCATGAGGATATGACAGGTATAGATAAGAAAATTATAACTCATAAACTCAATATAAATCCTTCTTTCAGGTCTATACACCAAAAAAGAAAGGAAATTTACACCCGAGAGGAATCAAATCATTCAAGAACAAGTTGAAAAACTTATCAAAACATGGATGATTAAAGAGGTGAGGTTCCTAAGATGGATAACCAACATAGTGGTGGTCCAAAAGAAGAATAGAAAATGGAGAGTGTGTGTTGATTACATAAATATCAATAAGGCATGTCCTAAGGATCCTTTACCTTTATCACACACAAACTCGATGATAGATGCCACGACAGGACATGAGCTACTAACATTCATGGATGCTTTAGCAGGATTCCAACAAATACAGATGGAACCGTCCTATCAAGAGGATACTACCTTAATAACCCCTTGTACCGTCCCGAAAATCCATGGTAAAATTTCATTTTTAAAACAAAAAATTATATAACAAATTGTTCTCAAAACCATTCAAGATAAATATAGCATTTAAACATCAGAGTAAAAATTATCAATGCAGAATTAAACTCTTGGGGATGTTGTGAAGTCCGAACCAAAAGTACCTGAAACCATAAACATAAACCATAAAAAAAATCTTAGTGAGTTCCACAAAATAAAACATACAATACATACAATGGCCCTTGCCCAACAACCATCGGACCCCGCCCGATACAGATCTATCGGTTAGATGTGATGGGCCTGGCCCAACACATTCATCATGCTCCGCCTTGCATCGGGGCCCGTCCAGTATATATAACAACACATATAACATGTGTAAGAGTCATACAAACAACTAGCATAATAATAAAAATAATACATAGGCCAGTATTGGTGCCTTCGACCTGCCATACACAAAAAGATGATGACAAAAACCTCGTGCAACGCCGCACTGATCACAACCAATAGCTCTAACCACAAAAAGATGGGTGCAAAACACCTCCTAACAATCCACAGAAGGCAAACCCTAAGTCTACTTTCTAAGAATAGAGATTGACCAAAAAAGTCAACCCATGCCAAAAGTCAACAGTCAAAGTCAACGCCCAGAGTTGACTTTGGCTGACCGCCACATCGTGGCCTTCATCCAGCCAAACATACGGGAGATTCCCAGTCGCCACGTCGTGGCGACCTATGGCCACGTTGTGGGCACTAGCTTTCCAACAACTTAATGGATTAAGTTGTTTTCCTCGATTCCAAGAGCTCCAAAGCTTAGATCTGGTCCAAATTATGGTATAAATGAATAAAGTTTCCAAATTTATCCATTAAGACATCTAAAGAGATCAAGATCTCAAACCCTAGGTCCAAATAAATCCAAAATCTATAATGTCTTAACCATTAAGACTTTAATCCGAAAAGTCCTTAACCCCAAATCTTCCAGAAGCTAAAGGGGGTACCAAAGGTCCATAAAAATGATTACTTGACGGACATGCATTCCCCATGCATGTACTTAACTCAACTTAGGCTAAATGGCAATAGAATGACCTATAACATATGCAAGATTCACAAATCCCAACCAAACTTCAGATCCATAAGATATGATGCTCAAGGGACACTAGAGAGCAATATGGTTGCCAACTATATTCCATACATTCACT